AAATTAGATGCAAAATGATTTCAAATTATGATCTAAACAAACAAATAAGAGAAAAAACAACACATAAACTAATCCAAATTAATCCGTAAAAATTCTTCGATAGCAAAACGATTACGCGAAATATTTACTTTTGACCACCTTTTAAAGAACATTTGAATGTAAATAATTTTATTCTATAACTGTATGTGTATGTGATCATATTATTGCAGGTGTAGACAATCGTGCAAAATTACATCGTTCATACGCAAACAAATCTATATAAATTTTGACTCGTAAATAATTGTCACGAATTTACTTATTATAGAATATAGCTATATATAAATTTTAACTATATATACATATTTATATGTATAGTTAAAATTTATATATATTTATATGTATATATTTATTCATATAATAAGCGAGTTAAAGTATGTAAATATTTAAATTTTTTTGTACATAAAAAATTATTCTTATCTTCTGAAACAATAAATGTGTAAATTAAACTGGCAGTGACTTCTATTATGCAAATTGTGAACTAGCAAAGGAAAGAATTTTTTTCTGTATGAAGTCAACTCAGGATAATAAGTTAAAAGGATCACATACAAAAAGAAAAATGTGATACTGTTCCTCAAACTCTTGGTAAAATTCCTAGGAAATAATAACTGAAAGCTATAAAATGAGAATCGTAAAATCGGTTTACAGGAATTACATTCTAAATACAAAAATGAGATCAGATTTGTTACATTAACTCATCTTTCTCACTATGAAAATTGATATTTTACGCTGCAGCATGTGTCCGAGCGATGTTAGTAGTGACAAACTGCCGCATAAAATATATTTTATGATCGAGCTAAGCGTGTTTATTTATGAAACTATAAAACGCGGTTATTTACAACTTGACCTCATTTTATAAGGACTTAAAAGTTGTTTCTTCTCTCTTTTTTTTTTTTTTTTTTTTTTTTTTTTTGGTGTGTGTGTGTGTGTTTTTCACCCTCTTTTTGTTTTTCGTTTCTATATTTTATTTGTTTTGCTTCGCATGTCACTGGCGGCGTCTGGAAGTAACATTCGGATTCGCTTCTGTGTTAGGCTATTTCCTTTCCAGATCCTTAAAGCTTAAATGGAAGCGTTCTCCATTCGCAAAATATTGTACTAGAATCTATGGTTTCTGCGAAAATGTTTTAATCCACATTTAAAGACTGCATTTTTATACGCATTTACATTGTAAGGCTTTGAATTCTCTCAGTATAATTTCAAAACTAAGTGTATATTTGGCACAATTATCATTCTAAGAAAGAGTTTATTAGACTTTGAAGGAATTCAAGCCTTTGTTTCAGTTTCAGCAACCGTATATATATATATATGTCTTTCTTTTAATTTCTGATTTGTGTGCGTATAAAATATCTTCTAATTTCAGAAATGTTAATTAACTCCTTAAGATGTATTTAACAGTGAAAGAAATTAAGTTCCGAGATGATCAGCACAGGTGAGCTCTTACGCATTTGGATCCCCCTTTTTAATCAAGGCCGAAGACTAAAATTTAATATATAGTCGACTGTAGAGTTATGGAATTTTAAATTACCAGTTTTTAATTATAATAAATAATAAGGGAAAAAAACTGGAGAATTTCAGCAATATTTGGACTGTATTCAGCTAACGAATAATTTTATTCTTATCCTAAAAGAATACAGAAAATGCTGCTAGAGGGCTGAGGTGCGTAGGTGTAGCTAATGACGTAACAATATTAAAAAAAAAGAATAGCAGACAAATTACATACTACTGCTAAATTGTGTTGTAAAATGTAGTGTCTCCTGAGTAGATAAAACGTATGGAGATACTAGTATTCTTTTACCATTTATTTTTAAGAAATCAATAGAAATGTATTAGAAAAACAATCTGATGGGGACACCACATGTCTCCCTTTTACGGCCTATTAAATTATACACATTTTTTCCTCCGTTTTATTTAAACTTATTTCCTCGAATTTCATTAGAGATATATTTCTCATTCAGTTAATTCAGTTCTCACTTAGCGAGAAAGCAAAAATGCAAAAAAATCGAAACATTTTCATTAAAAATTCAAAAGTATAGGAAAGTTTGATGTTTTACAAGCACAAGCCCCCCTGCGGCCGAGCGGTAAAGTCGCTGAACACTGGTAGTTCGGTCCGAGGTTCGAATCCCGCGAACGGTCTGGCTGCATGGGCGTTTTCGTGGTTTTCCTGCTGTGTAAGGTGTATACTAGACAGTTACCTTCAGAAAGTCCTCCACAAAGGCATCCCTCCATTCAGGCACATAGCTGTAGTGTGTTTTGCTATAATTAAATAAACCAAACGTTTTATAAACACAATTAAAATCGTTTCAAAAAATTTTTTACTAATTAAACTCTAATTAAAATGAGAGTTTCTGCGCAGAAACAAGCAATTCGGCCAGCGGGCAAGAAGACAGATTTTTCAGTGTACGAAACTGAAAGCTTACTTTTTGCCCCACTCGGCAAAAAGACACTGAAAGTACAGAAACTGACTTAATTCACGATTCTGCTGTTTCAAATGTAAACCAATAATGACTGCTCTATTAGGCTTAGTCGCAGTTGAACAACTTTTAAATTGTAGATAATTCTACACCTATTGCATGCAGATTAATTAAAGGCATAAAAACCTTAACCGGAAGATACGAGCAACATAATTCAATCACTTTGAAAGCAAAAAATGCACAGTTTACGAAACATCTAAGAATTAAAAAACTGACCTCACTGAGACCAGTAACAAAATGGGTATATGTATATACACATATACATATTTGGTGCGGCCAATTTGAAGCAAAAACAGAGATGCACAACTACATGTTATAGCAGGTACAGACGTCATGAAAAAATCTCTTCTGAATTCATTTTAAATCCATTTCGTAGTCCGTTTTGGGAAAAAGAGTCTTTTATTGTGTCCTTACGTACCGATGTCACCGAAAAAAATCGTTAAATTGTATCCGATAGCGGTGAAAATGGATATTTTCATTAAAATAGGATACCCGAACTTTTTCATGATTGCAATATTTCGGACTGTTGAGATAGAAATTTGCATTTCTCCCGTTTGCGATTGCGCTGAGCAGAAAATGCGAATGGTTCTGCGGATGGTTCCAGCCGAGGAGGAGAAGAGGAGAAACGAACAGAGAAAGGGTAGTCTGTCTTCCCGATTCTGACGGTCCTGATGTCTGACATCCCTGCTACGCCTATCTGATGATGTTTGCCCACATGGCCAGCCGCTGTGATTCACTTAAGGGATATCAGCAGTCCCTATACCGACAATGTTAAATTCGCCATTTTCGATGTACCTGTTCTCAAAATCTGCCGTATATACACGCTTGAAATTTTTTGTGTAATTCAAGTATACCTATCTGGTTATACTGAAATGAGTTTTTGAACCATTTTGAATTTTAAGTAATTTACAGAATATTTTGTTAGGCATAGTAAAATGTAGCACTTTTCTCACCCACAAAAAATTTTAAATATTTTTTCTTAGTTTATCACAAAAAGCCCATTTTAGTAAATATTAGGAAACCTAATAAATACGCCATAAAATTTTTAGATACCTGTGAGCAGTAGCTCCTGAGAAAAGGTACATCGAGTATTAAAAAAATCACGTTTGAAGAAAAACGCGTTTTTATATAAAAAACGTAATTTATCAAAGCATTCGATGACAAATTAAAACTCTACTTTTTACAGTTCTAATTTTCATAGAGATTAAAGAATGGCATTTTTAGAAAAATAAAAGTGTAGAGAATTTGAAAAGGCAAAAATTCATATCTTATTATACAGGCATTAGTCCCATGAAGCAGAGGAAAATCAAAGCTATATAAAAGGAACTGAAATATTTGATATTTTACGGCGATAATACATCGCACAACTTAAGCAATTTTTTAACTTGGAGGATATTTGGAATATAGGTTTTAACAGACACATGTTTTCAAAATAGACTTACAGTGGTGCCTCACACAACGAACTTAATTCGTTCCAGGAGCAAGTTTGTTATGCGAAAAGCGTTTTCCCATAACAATACATGTTAAAAAAATAATTCATTCTGTAGCATAAAATATGCTAAGATGACATAAAAAAGATAAATTTTTTGTTATTATTTTTATTTAGATACATCTAAAAACATAATTTTTTTAAAAAAAAAACACACACACATTTTTTAATTTTAAGACAGACTAAGTAGAGTCTACCGAATCTTGCACATCTTCATCCATTTTCTGCATTTTTGGACCGATGGTTTCATGAAAAACCTGTCCAAAGTCGTTTGTTTTTCTCTTTTCTCCAACATCTGCCAGGAAATAACGGACAAGAGTATTGGCGGAGTAAAGATCGTTGATCCTGTTTGCTTCAGCTGAATCCGGATAGTGGGCATTGGTAAACTCCTAAACTGCTTTCCATTTGACCAGGATGTTCTTGATGTCAGCAGTTGGGATTGGTTGATTCTTTGATTGTTGCTCCTCGTTATCAGATGACGCTTCCCTTTGAGCATTGTCCTGTTGCTGGACCAGAAGTGCTTGGAGCTCGTCAGTTGTCAGCTCTTCTTTGTGTTCCTCAATAAGCTCCTCTACATCCTCTTCCTCTACCTCTAATTCCAACCTTTGGGCCACTGTGATGATGTCCTTCAGTACTTCAGTGTCATCAACTACTGCTTCTTCCTGGGTCCACGAAGGCACAAGCATCTTCCAAGCAGAAATGAGGGTCCTTTGTGACACTTCTTCCCAGGCCTTCTGTATAAGTCGTATTGCCATAAGGACATCAAATTTCTCCTTCCAAAACTTTCGGACAGTCATATTTCTCTCTCCACCAAACTCGCATTCTTCAAACACCTTATTAAAGAGGGCTCTAGTGTAGAGTTTTTTAAAGTTCGCAATAACTTGCTGATCCATTGGCTGAAGAATGGATGTGGTGTTTGGTGGTAATACTGCACCTTGATAAAAGGATAATTTTCCTGCAATATTTCCTCTAGGTCTTTGAGTGAGAAGGGGCATTGTCAAGTATCAGAAGAGCTTGAGCGGCAGTTTCTTTTCCAGAAAGAATTTCTTCACGGCAGGAGCAAAGGTTTCCAGAATCCATTCGTTGAAGATAACTTGGGTCACCCAGGCTTTTTGATTGGACTTCCAATGGACGGGCAGTTTGGACTTAATAACGTTATTTTTCTTGAAAATTCTTGGATTTTCAGAGTGATAAACCAATAGAGGTTTGATCTTGAGGTCTCCGCTGGCATTAGACGAAAACTTAAGGGTAAGTCTGTCCTTCATGGCTTTGTGTCCTGGCAATTTCTTTTCCTCTTTTGTAATGAAGCTTCTGCTCGGCATTCTTTTCCAGAAAAGACCCGTTTCATCGGCATTGAACACTTGTTGTGGGCAGTATCCTTCATCCTTAATACATTTTTGAAAGTTAATAGAGAACTTTTCTGCTTCTTTCTTGTCAGCACTGCCAGCCTCACCATGCATAGTAACGCTGTGGATTCCACACCTTTTCTTAAATCTAAAAAACCATCCCCTGCTGGCTTTGAATTCTTCTTCATTATCTTGATTGCTGCTACTTCCAGGGACGTTTTTCTTTAGATCGTCATAAATTCTCTTTGCTTTGTGACAGATAATATCTTGGGTTGTTACGTCACCTTTCACCTGCCTGTCCTTAATCCAAATCGCTAATAGCCTCTCCATTTCTTTGTGGATTGAAGACCTATGTTTTTCATGAAAATAGTTTTGATACTCGTTTGGCTACTTTGGCTGATTTGATTGCATCCTTATTTGCAAAATGGTGAAAATGGTGGTTTTGCTGAGGCCAAACTCTTTGACGAGGTCACACTGTTTTACCCCACATTCACTCCTTCTAATTATTTCCTGTTTCATTTCAACAGAAATCACCTTCCTGTGTTTTTCAGTAATGTATTTTTTAGAAGCCATGATATAAAAAAATATTTATTTTAACTGAAAAGGACGATATTGAGTTTAACTTAAAAGGAGGTATTGCCGCGATACGTGCTTAAGTTAAGCGCAGTGACTAACGACTGCCTGCAGTGCCTGCGCGGAAGGATGCAATACATCGGCAGCGATCGTGGAAGCTCGGGCGAAGCAGTCGTGGAAGCTCGGGCAAAGCGGTCGTGGAAGCTCGGGCGACTTCGTTGTGTGAAACGAAGTTCATTGTATGAACCATGAAATGAAGTTCGTTGTGTGCAGCGTTCGCTGTGCGAGGCGTTCTTTATGCGAGGCACCACTGTATCTAAACTGGATGAATGCAGTAAAATGCTATAGAGATAATATATATGATTTTTTTCTGTAGCTTACTTAAGTTACGTATTCAAAATTGCAATTTATTGATTTTTCTAAGTTACTTATTTCGTAGGTTTCATGAGGTAAATTATGAAAAGTCTAACTCTGTTTAAAGACGGCAGTGATTATGCATATATCTCATATTTCAGATGATCGCCTCTGAAACTGACCATTTTTATTCCTCCAAAATAACTTAAAAGAAATTAGCTTGCAATTGAAAAACTTCAACTGTGAACTCGAAAAAGAATTAGTCATTAAAATATTTAAATTTAAAATTAACTATATGAATCAATCATAAAAGCATTTCGGTTCGTTCTTAAGTAAAAATAATATCTAACGGTATTCACACATAGAAATAAATTTTTACTGCCGTTCAATAAAATTAAAAATTGAAACAAAAATAATTTTAATTTTAAAAACTCCTGCATGTGGTTATTGGGTTTTCATTTCCTCTATGATTGCAGAATAATGCGAGCGGGAAAATATCAAAATATTAAAAAAATATATAATAACTTAGAAAAACCTTTGAAAAAAGTTATAAAACAAAATATTTAAAATGAAAATTAAAAAATATATGCAGTAAAATTTTGCATGTTCAAAAACAAATTGCAATCGATAAATAAAGATTATATTACAGGGTATTAGAAATAATCGCTTAAAGCTTTAAAACATGTTCATATCTCCTACTTACTGCAAAATATTGTTCTGAAGTACAGACAACTTCATCTACTTAAATGCTCCACTTTCTTACCCAGGGGAGCTAACGTAACTTTGTAATACAGTAGAACAGGGATTACTAATTTGTGTTCTTTTAGTAATATATAAGATTATCAATAATATGTAAGACTTTCAGAGTAAGAAGGTTTTTTAGTAATGTATAATTTTTACTATCTTTCCATTTTACAGGAGAGTTTGGAGGAATATTCAAGAAATAAAATTATATTTTAAATAAATTTATAGAAATATTTTTATTTTTTCTCATGTTTTGCATCTTATAAATCACATGATCATACGTATAAGTTGGGTTTTGGTTATGAATTTTGGTTTCTAAAATGATTATTCTCTGATTGTAACAACAATGTGTAAAATCAAAAGTGCCTTAATCGGTGAGCTACATAATATTAAATTGTTAGATACCGTTTATTAGAAAATGTTATAAGTTTTACCTTTATGATATTAAAATTGAAGATGTTTTACATTATGGTTTTGGCTTTTAATGTACGTTTTCTACAGATAACTATTTCACTATAAATATCAATGCAATAAATGTATGATTTTCTTATCATGATTGGTCAAAGCATAACATTCTTTTATCCTAAATTTTTATTTTTTGTTCCTAACAGAATGTATAAAAAACAAAAATTTTCATTGTCTATTTTTAATTATTCAAGAAGCATATGATATCTGCTAATTCTAAATTTATTTACAGTCATTTGTAGTGATGTTTGTATTGTCACTCTCTTTTGTCAAATTTCCATAGCAGAATCCAATTCTAATTCTTGATCTATGTCTTCTTTCCTAATAGTTTGTTTCCTCATTTTCAAGCACATTCTTGTAGTTTGAGGCTATTTTGTAATCTAATAAAGTGTTATTAATCTTTCGGTGGATTAAAAAACAAATTTTTCATTCGTAGTTTATGATGTTGTTGCTTACCGACAACATTTATTCTGACAAGAACATGGTGCAAAATTAAAATAATCATATTTCGAAATTTTATGCTATCAGACAGAAATTTCTTCTGGTTGACACCGTAGGGGTAAATAGCGTTTTCCGTTTTTTGTTTGTTTCCAAGGGCTGGCACTTGCCGTTTATAAGCCTTGGCCACTACTAAGGTCGGAAGTAGTGGATATTTTATTCTGGAGGCACCTAGTAGATGGTTACACTGTTGCCTTCCGTGAAGGGATAATTTACATCCATGTCTTCTCAAGGCTTCGAACCCGGCATGGCAGTCAGAGTTACTAACCACTTTCCCGTGTGGGCGGCACAGGACAAAACTTCTTGAGTATTACTTTACTATAGATTATTTAAGGACCTCTGCAGTGTCAAATCATTATATAATTTTCCGTTTAATACTGCAAATGGAACTGCTCAAAACTTTAATGAAGCTAAAGAATGATTTGTTTCCAGAAAATGTTGTTGCGTTACTTGTTACTCAATTTAGAGTATGGAGTGGCGATAGAATGAATCTGCTTAAGATTATTTCAATGAAAATTTCGAAGTCAAATTTTTTATCTTTTCATTTTTCCTTTATTGTTTCTTTGACTGTTCACAATTTCACTTTTCCCCCCAGAGTTTAGTTTTTATTTTGTACAAATAGCAACACGTATCTTGCCAACATGGGCTGGTTAAGAGAGTTTGGAGCCTTAAGAAGAAAATGTCCCTTTTATGTTAGAATACAGCGCCACCTTACACAGAAACTCTCACTTGGCCACCTGGATTCGGTTAAGCAACATGCCAGAGCAAATAATACTAGTACTGATTGCAGTAATTACCGTTAATAAAATAGTTAGTTTTCTATATATACCTTCCACTCATTAGTTTAGAATTATAGAATTACAGTACAGTTAGTATGTGGGCATTCTTTGTTTTAAGAGTATTTAGCTGATTTAAGCACAAAATTATGGCATATCACATTACTAAATTTGTAAACTTTCATTTTGTCTGCCTAGCAGAATAAAATAAATACTAATTCAGAAGACAAACAACAAAAATCAGCGTTATATTTACAAAATTTCCACAGGACTAGTTTCGATAGTTTTACCGAACCACCATCCTCAGCTGCAAAACCGCAAAAATTATTTATTCGTCGTGTTATTGTGTCTTAATTATAAAATAAATAATTGCACCAATTTTGTTTTAGCTCTCTACCTACAAGTGGTTTATAATCGAGTCGATTACAAACACCTTGCTGTCTTGTTTCTGGTCTTTATTCGTTACGAATAGGATTTTACCATTAAATAAAAGCAATAATACATAAAAGAGTTAATAACTGTATTGAGTTTTACAAAAAATCATATTCTCTAATTGACTACACAGAGATCACAACCGTCTGAGAATCACTGTGATTTTATTTAGATATAAATATGTATAAAAATAAAACCAAAATAATAATTATCATAAATCTTTAAGAAATAAGGTAGTTTTTTACTCATAATTCATTCATGGGATGCAAATATTTTTGCATATTAAAAGTTTAACTGGTATAGTATGTGTTCCGGATACTCGAACATCACGCTTTATGTGACGATTCTTTAATCTATACCTGGTGAGATACATCAAGTGTGCCTTTCTGTATTTCATATTTTCACTGAAAAATATCAAGTGTATTTGATCTTACAATTGTGTGAGTTATTGCATATTTGAAAAGCATTTTCAAAAGCTTTAATTTCATATGACTCAGTCGTATCATCTGCGCATGAATTTTCACTATAGCAATGAAACCTAAACGTTTCAACTGAAACATTAGACATTTATTTTAAAGTTTTACTTTGATATACTGGGGTGAAACAGAAACTAATGATTTGGCAAAATTGGATAAAGATGCGCAATTAGCAAAACATTTCTCTGAAGTTAACATACTTAAAAAGCTGAAGTTATTAAAACACTTTGGGAAAGCCCAATCTTTTCATGCTAAAATTCATTATGGATTTCAAATTAGACAACTGTCTTCTTTTATTTTTATATGTAACAGTCAACTATTTAAAAGCATACATTAAATACAAATCGGTTAAATAAGGAGCTACATAAAAAACTTTCGCATTTAAAGTACCCATAGGTAAAATGCAGATGATATGTTTAAGAAGTAAACAAAATTTCAACTTTCAAATTTAATCAGCTACTTTTCATAAGTGACATTCTTAAAAATTTTAATACTGTTTAAATTTTTCAAAAGATGTTAATTTGATATTATTAAAATTCAAATACTTAAAATTAATTTTTTTAATTTTGTTAAAAATAAAGTGAAACGGAAAACAAAGCAGACTGCCCAGATTTAGCATTATCACTTTTACATCTGCTAGTTTTGAAAAAAATTGTTACAAATTTTCAATATTTAAATTTACATATTTAGGAGTCTATCGAAAAAATTATCTCTTTACGAAGCTGTTGAAATTGGTACAGGTTTATAAATTAAAATGCTTTTAGAAAAATGTATAAAAATTATTTTAAAATATATTTTTAAAACAAACCAGAAAAATGTCTAAATTTTCTTTGTATTAAATTTGAATCTATGAGGAAGAAATTTTAGTTTAATAAGTGATATTATCAAATACAAATAAATTCAATTAACATTATCAAGCTAAAGGCTTGAGTGTGCATTTTTGAAAAAAAAAAAAAAAAAAAAGTATCAGTGGGGTTTTACAAACATTGGAATTTTGACATAATTTGAGGAGCAGAATCGAACTATGAAAAAAATTCGGCAGGTTATTTCGAAAAACGTCAAATTTTATGTCAAAATACGTATCTTAGAACAATGCTTTATATAAATATAATGTAACATATAGTTTAAGTCGCCCTGAGATGAGAAACGCAAGTGGAATTCCGGCTATCAGCCATCTAGGACAAACAATAGAGAACTGTCTCCCCCTTTTTTTGGCTCATTAAACATAATAACGTATTATCAAAAAGGCTTCAAAACAATAATGTGCAGTTTCAGCATTGAAAGGGTTTCAAAATAAAAAACTTCATTTAAAAAACATTACATTTTATTTATAAGTTCGTAAACAAAAACATATATACAATATTTGGAGGTTTTTAAAGTAAGCTTCGAAGTTCTTTTAGTAATCCCTCTTTTCACAGCACTCCTAAGTTGTGAACAAAATTCTTTCAATTTACATCATTACAACACACATTGAACTTTTACACACGCTTTACAAAGTCAATGTTATGAATCCAACGAACAGTTAACATAAAAGCTCCAGTATATCAGCACAGCTGTTATTTACTTAAATAAGTCCAAAGGTACACAGTCATTCCCTTTGACTAACGGAACTTTTAATTAAACTTCAATTCACACACCTAAGAAAGAATCAGTATTGTTCATATTGCACCTCTGTGTTTCATTCCATTAAACTTAGCAAAGCTATGCTAATGCATTTTCTTCAATTTGCGAATCAGAAACATAGTAAAAATGTACAGCATCTCGAACAAAACTTTCACGTATGACGTCCCTAGAGCAGGAACATAAGGTGACAAGATATTTCCCTGTAGATGAAAGATGCCACAACAAAGAGACTTTTCAAAAGTTATTTTTGTTTCGTTATACTCTAAAAATGTTATAAGATGAAGGCACTTCCCATTTACAGATGAGTTAGTTTAAAAGAAGAAATGAGTGAGTATGAGCACGTTAAATATGATAAACTATACACACTACTCATATTAGTAGCCAACCATATTTGAGCAATGATTTTCACAATGAAAATGTATAAATGAGATTTCTGTTCGAGATGGTAAATCACATTCCTCTTTCATACTTATTTTACTTCACATTCATTTTTTCAAACCTAGGCTAATCTAACTAATTTGTTCGCAAAACGGATCTCTAAATTAAAAAAAAAGTATTTTCGTTCTTAAATAACAGAGCATAAGTTTTCTCCGACAATATTCATACCGTTTCCTGAGGTATGTTTTGAAACTGATATGTGTCAGACGCTTGTGCAAGAAATCTCAGCCAAGAAATGGAAAAACTCCGCCAGGGGGAGCTGTAATTGTAATTGGAACTTGACTCGTTGTTGTAGCTGTTATTGTTGTTTCATATAAAGAAGTACTGGTGACCGTTCGAAACTTAGTACTAATTGCATTGTATATCAGAGTATAAATTCGGGTGCTGAGGCTGGTAGCTGTTGTTACGGTTGTGTAGGTGGATGTTATGGTACTGTATTGAGGCGGAGGGGCTAGTAACTGTGGACCTGTTCCCGTTCCAAGTTGTGTGCCTCCCAAAAGTTGCTGAAAATGATTCTGTTGCTGGAATAGTTGAGTATTCAAGTAAGGCTCCACAGTGGTAGTTAACGAAGTCATAGTCTTCTCTGTTGTGGACACAGATTCAGACAGGGTTCGAGTTCTAGTTCGGCGACCATCATAAAAGCTTACTACTTTGGTGCTATAAATGGTATCGGTGTGAATGTACGTTGACGTTTTGGTAATTGTCGAATAAAGAGTGGCATGTCTATTAAGTTGCTGCAATCCAAGGTACACAGCTGCTAAAGGATTCTGCTGTAATGCTGCGCCCAAAGACAGAAGAGAATTAGACAAATCATTTGAATTGCCACCTGTATGGTCGTATGGTACAACTGCTTGTTCTCTTCCACTTCCAGACGCCTGCAACAGCCCATTGGGTATAGGTGTCTGTATAATTTGCTGCCTAGGAGACGGATGAAGTTGTATTGCTCCATCAAGCAAACCACTGAGTTGATCATTAGATTCGTCGAATTCTGCATCTTGTGTTTCATTATGAAGCATGGTCATATCTGCTGCTGGCAATGTTTTATATCCAGTTATGAGCTTCAATATGAAGAAGCTTTCCGTTACAGTATGATATGAAGTTGTATCATTTTCCAGAACTGGTACAACCGATGTTTTAAGCATACGTTCTGTTGTCGTATAGGTCCTTGTCACAACCACTTGAGGAGTGGCATCTTCGTCTAGAGGACTCAAAGTCGCAAATATAGCATTATTGTTAGCAGGAGAGATGTCATGTGCATCATTGATGCCATCAGACGGGTACGAATGTCTTGTCTTTGGAACGCTAGTTGTGATGGTCAGAGTTCGAACGGATTTCCTTCTTCCCACATGCAGAGTTACTTCACTCGTAATTGTAGTTTTCTCATAAACTACTCGGGCGGGATCAACAGAGTGTAAGGGATCGTATTCCTCTCCGAGATCATCTTCAGCATCGAATGTGTTGTCTTGCGGAGTTACTAAGTCACTTACACCACTGCCATCATTTCGGACGGTCAACTTTACTTTGAATCTATTGAGTCTAACCTATAAAAGAAATTAAAAGAGCTTTAGTACTTTAAACTAGAAAGTAAAATTTACAAGACGGAAAGAGAATGACACATTTTTAAAATTTACTGATAGGTTTCGAAAGGTAACTTGATTATTCAGCATCTTCTGAGTTTCATCATTCCGATATTAATAATAATTATATCATATATTTTTGTAAAAAAGGCCCATTGTCATCCTTACCTAAGCCAAAAAAAAAAAAAAATCCGACGAATCGTATCGTTCTAAAAAATTCATTGATCACTGAAATATTAATCATACGACATGAAACATTTTGTTGATTTGTAATTAAGGATTGGAAATTAATTATAATAGCGTTTTCGTGTTTTTCCTGTGTGTACTATGAATACGAAACATATTCCCTTAAAAAGTCTTCCACGGAGCATTTCTTTATTTCCATGTCGCGCCCAATAGCGGAGCACGTAATGAATAAAAAATATCCAATATATACGGTAATTACCAAACGGTTACTAATTTTTGTAATCGTGGGGTAATAATCACATATATTAGATACTAATGCTTGTGCAGTAGGAAAATTACGAAGACTTATTATGGCAACACCAGTTTAAACATTTACAAGGTAATAATAATTTTATTTGCTTGGTGAACTCTGAATTCATTTCTACTTTATTTTCTACATTTGCTTAAATTGAAATCTAGATTTCACAGAACTGATCAAACAATTGATCAAGTCTTGTGGAATTACACTCCATTCTTTTGAGTTGAGTTATGCCAGTCTACAAATAGTGTGCGAGTGGAAAAGAAAAGCATGGAATGAAATTAAAACCGACGTAATTCAAAAAGCATTTAAAGAATCTATTATTTCTAAAAATACAGATAGAAAGGAAGACGATTATTTATTTATGGATCAGAATAAGAGTGATAATGGAGATGAACAGGATTCGATGATGTGTCTGAAGATATAATGGAAGACAATTAAGACGAACCTTTCATGCTATCCGATTATGAAAACTTTTAATTTCAGAAGCTGTGCCATTTCTTTTAAATATACAGCTCTTACGTATATGAAAAAAATCTACTTTTTTATATGCTCACCTTTATCTTATTTTTAAATCTATCATTTTTATAGTGCACGTTTCCGATCTGGAGGATTCGCAAAGGCGTCTGGTGCACTAAAACTATAGCTGAGAGAAAACAAAATGGTGCACATTCAGCGATGTGTGTACATTTGAAGGCATTGTCCAGTTTTGGTTTTGTATTCATGAGATAAAACTATATTTGCATGATATGTAGTTATTACAATAATACTTAGAAAATAAAAATTTAATCTGTAGTTTTAAATATATTAGTCAAAATTATATCAGTATTAAGTATCAAAGACCCGATAGTAAAATTATTTTACTCATTAAAAATTTATCCATAAGTTTGAAATTACGCTTCTTAATAATTTATGTAATTTAATAGCATACGATAGTTTAATGTTTGATAATACGTAAGTAAATTAATCGAAATTTAGCCAAAGAAAAATATTATACTATGAATCTTATTAATTTTAATAAATTTATTTTCCAAATCTTGAACAAAATAAATGTTTATATGTTACATTTCATATTGTTAAAAAAATAGGCGTAGCAGAAGGTAAAAATAAATAAAATAATTTATGTTAAACTAAAAAGGAAAACTAATAGGTACGCAGTTGCTTTTCAATGCTATTCATAATTGAACATTTAAAATTAATTGCAAATGGACTTAAAAACATATCTAGAAATTATAAATGAATTAAATAATAGTGACAGTTTGCATTAAAACATATGTGTATGATTCTATTTTAACAGCACAAAATATCTTATATATAAACATAAAATATCTAACGAACTATTTTCTAATGAATGCACACCTTCTAATAACAGAAAATGAACATATGTGTAAAAAGAGAGCAAACACTAAGTTTCTTTATTAATAAACTCGACTGATTAAATACGTTTATTGAATTTCTATATACAGCTCGTTTCATCCTCAGTACCCTCATGAAAAATATTTTGTAGCATCCGGCAATTTTAAAACATTAATACGGCCTAAAATAGTATTAATTTTTGTATTTATCTTGCTGTTAAAATTTTGAGTATAGGATATGTGATGCATAATAAAGTTGGTATTAAAATTTGTCCGTTTTTTATGATCTGACAACAAATTCAGAAAATATAGCTGCATAAGTCTGAAAGTATCAGTGTATTTAAATTGCATCAGCTGAGACATTATTTTGAAGATACACTGTTTAAATATATAATATCTTAATTACCGCTCGGTAAATAATTATTGTATAGCTTCATATAATGGCAGACAGCATAATTGTATTTTTATCAAGATAACCTGTAATGAGCAAATCACTCGAAGCTTATTTGCCTCAGTCCAAAGCGAAATCTTCAGTTTTCTCAGCCTGAGGATCTCTTATCACAACCATCTTTTTCCTTGAAGGAATTCTCAGATCCACGGGTTTCAAGTGATTCCCAGATTGCATAAATCTAGAAATTTGCTTTAACATAACGCGCAAGTTTAATTACACCAGATGTTGGTGTAAAAACGAATGAGGTGATTCAGTCACAATGTGGATCGCAAAATGGAAGGTGATTTGAGCATGCAAGATGATTTGAGTATTGATAGCAGAAAATAAAGATGATTTAATAGGGAAAGAGATATGTCATAACTAGATTAAAATTAGAGCATAAAATATGATTTTTTGACAAAATTCAGAAAAGCAAATTTCATTAACATTGATTTCACTTTAATAGGTTTAACTTCAAGCGTACTTGCCATTAAAATTTTTTTTCGACTTTAAAGAATACGCCAAATATATCATAGATGCAAAACTTATAACTTGAAACTGATTGATATATGAGTGGGTAAAACTGTCCTGAATCGTAGTAATAAAATTTCGGGTTTAGTTCGGAAAAATGAGATTATGTTGACTGAGTACTAACATTCGAATTGAGAACTATAATAGCGTACTCTTCTTGCTGGTTGTCCTTCTGCTAAACATTAGAAGATATCTTTGTTGACTTCTTTTAACTTCAGTTACTGTTAATTTACTGGTTGCTAACAAAGGTTCTTTTTTCATGTTGTAATCCTTATGCTTGTCCTGAGTTAAGTTGCTGTTAATTTTCTTCTTCAAGGACACACATTCTATCCTTTTTCATTTAAAAATATACCCCACTCAAGGTATAAATTTATTCAAAATAGATTAGCTAGAGAAACGAAACACGGGACGGCGGGTATACAACTAGTAAATTAATTTAGAATCAGCACATTCAGGAATAGATAGCCTGTTATTATAATGATTATTCTGAGAAAGATTGGCATTAGAGCTAGCAGAGAATTTAATACTTGAGTATGAAGTGGACATTTATATTTATAGTAATGTTTTGGGAAGCGAATCCCTAAATACTGCTTTATCCTTAGTGTAGTCAAGTATCGTATGTTCCGGCGTATAACGCGCACTTATTATTTCATACTACATTTTAAAACGTTTTTAGTTATACTCACCGTATAACGCGCATCCTTTTCCTTACGAAGAAACATCAAAGATGCATGTGTGATGATGTTACTTTTTGAAGTCATTCATTCCATTTCGAGCAATGGTATACTGAACCGACAAGCAATAAAGGCAAAAATAATGTGTGTGACTGATGTGAAAGGCACAAAGAAAAATCACGAAACACGATCACGAAAAATCTCCCTGCGCAATGCTTTCCCGCTTAACGGACGGTAAAAATTAAAGCTCCTGGTTATTTTTAAATGAAAGGCATTGCCGACGGTGGCAAAAAAATATAATTCGTGTTTTCATTGATGTTTACGAGAGAGGATGGATGGACGAAAACGGTGTGAAATTCTGGATAAGAAATATTTAGCAAAAGCGTCCTGCTGCCTTAAAGAGTCTAGAAACTCTTCTAGTTTTGGTCTATCTATAGTCTTTTAGTTTAATCGTTTAGTATGCTCCTGGTTATTTTTAAATGAAAGGCATTGCCGACGGTGGCAAAAAAATATAATTCGTGTTTTCATTGATGTTTACGAGAGAGGATGGATGGACGAAAACGGTGTGAAATTCTGGATAAGAAATATTTAGCAAAAGCGTCCTGCTGCCTTAAAGAATCTAGAAACACTTCTAGTTTTGGTCTATCTATAGTCTTTTAGTTTAATCGTTTAGTATGCTCCTAGTTATTTTTAAATGAAAGGCATTGCCGACGGTGGCAAAAAAAATATAATTCGTGTTTTCGTTGATGTTTACGAGAGAGGATGGATGGACGAAAACGGTGTGAAATTCTGGATAAGAAATATTTAGCAAAAGCGTCCTGTTGCCTTAAAGAATCTAGAAACTCTTCTAGTTTTGGTCTATCTATAGTCTTTTAGTTTAATCGTTTAGTATAGTCTTTTAGCAAAGTCTTTTAGTTTAGTTTAAATCTTTTCTTCTAGTTTAGTTCTTTATTTTTTTAGTTTAGTTCAAATTTTTTCTAGTTTAGATCTTTATTCTTTTAGTTTAGTTCAATTTTTTTTTTCAAATTTAGTTCTTTATTCTTTTAGTTCAGTTTCAAATCCCATCAAACGGAAAATACGAAGAATTCAGCCTTTATATAAGTGTATCAATAAAATTTCAAAGAAAGTTTAAAACGACAGTGAAATACGTGTATGTTAGAAGGTGAAAAAAACATTTACAAAAGGAAGTAAATGAGTCATGCCAGTCTAGAAATAGTGTTTGAGTAAATAATAAGAGCGTGGAATAAAATTAACACCGACATAATTCAAAAATCATTTAAAAATCTTAGTACTTCTAAAAATACAGATTATTTATTTATGGAAGACGATTATTTATTTCTGGATCAGAGTAAGAGTGACAATGAAGATGAAACAGGATTCAATGATGTGCCTGAAGACGAATATGACGAACCTTTTATGCTATCCGATAATGAAAACTTTTAAGTTCATAAGCTGGGACATTTCTTTTAAATTAAACAGCACTTATGTAT